TTTGTGAACTTAATGTAGATTGTATGAAACACTTTAAGCGATAATACCAGAAAATACCTCGTTATAAATTACAAAAATTGGTTATCATTTTCATCACTAAAAAAATATGTGATTAATTTTTCCAAATACATACACTTACGTGCACATAAATCGGCCCACTTCATAATTTTGAATTTTATTGTTAGTTTGAGAAATTATACGCCACAATAGATGATTTAATTTGCTTTAAAATGATAATAAACTTATTAAAGCACATTCAGCATTAAGGTAAAAATGATTCAATTCAATAACATCAACAGAAAAGAATTCAAGGCAATCACAAGCCAATACAGAAGTCAGAATGGTGACCTATTAACACAAGGAAAGATGTATTGAATAGATGGGTGGAGTACTTTAACCAGGTACTTAATATAGATAAAGAAGAAAACCTGAAAGGTGAAAGAGATAAGGTAAGCGAAACAGACGAAAGGGAAGAGGAACTGGCAACGATTCTTGAAGTTAAAGACTTAGTTCAAATCATCTGGAATAGATTATCGTCCAGCTGAACTATATAAAGAAGGTGGTGACGATGCCATAACGGCACTACAACAGCTCATGAAAGAAATATGAACACAGAAATCTTAAAAAAATTTTTAGGAGGCTAGGACCCATGCAGGGTTGTAAAGCCAGAATGATGATGATGATATAATTCAATGAATAGAACAAATTAATTATCATTTCATTTTCAGAAGAAATATGATTTTAAAAACAAAACAAAAAATTATATCAAAAACAAAAACTAATGAATAATGGTCTCCTGTTGCTCGAATAACATAGGGCCAGAGACTTCATGCTCAATATTTTTTCCATTTGCAACCTTCTAGATCGCAATCTTTGTTTTAACTCATCCTATAAAGTTAACTTGATTCCGTTTAAATTAGGATTACATTCTGACTACTTCTTAACCAGAAAATCGACTTCTGCTGCAAAGTATTCCTAGACAATTTTAGCATTATGCTACTTTGCATTGTCATGCATAAATATAAAGTTTTCTCCAATATAATCGTCATAAGGTACCACGTGAACTGCCATAATTTTCACAATATACCGAATAACTGTTCTCTGTTGCGACCACAGCCAGGTCTGATAATGAAAGCAAGATCCGTTCTTGCGTCCCAGATGTATGAACTGTCCGGCACTCTGCTAACCTCCCTTCTTATCTCCTGTATACGTTCTTTCTTCGATAAACGGCATAAAGACATTGCAGGTCTCGTCAGAGAACAAAATATAGTTCCACTGTTTCATATAATGTGAATGATCTAGTGCGAAATTCAGGCGTGTTTCGAGTAGATTTTGAAACAGTGCAGGCACGCCTTCTTGGAGGTTTCTTTTTTTAAGTCTTCTTTATGGTAATGGTTCCATAAAGAACTCAATTCAATAAAGCTCTTGTCACAAACGTTTTCTGGTCATTCCTGGTCGAAGATGACAATTTTGAATTTTCAGTATATCGTTGCAGACTCTTCGAACCGCTCCTTCTAGAAACAACTAATTTTCATGGAACATTTTGCTAGGCTATGGTTATTTTAAATTAAAACAATTTGAACTGTGTTTTCCGGTGCAATCTGCATTGTACTAATTAATTTTACAGTGATTAAATTAAAAAACCTTAATTATACTAAATCATCTGTTACATACATACATTTTCCGAGTTCACTTTTAATTGGATGTATAGTTACTAGAAAATAAAAAAATTCCAAATCGTAAAGTGAACCGATTTCTATGCACGAAAGTGTATATTATAGTGAAAAATTAAACATAACTGACTATTTCAAACCAATTATAAGTGCAAATGTTTTCAAAATTTTAAACTACAGCGCTACGGCTTCCATAGGCCTCCAACTTATGAGGTTGCTCTTATAGCAAATAGAGCTTTGGTCTTGCAGTCGCAGACTGCAGATGATACAATAGTGTTTTCCAATACCATAGAAGGGCTGCAAAACTTAATGAACAGAATAACGGAAACAAGTAGAACATATGGACTGGAGCAAATCTATATGTGAACCAAATGAGAATTGAACGTGTCTCACAATACAATTACTTGGGAACTATAATCAATGAGTTGTGGGACAATACCCAAGAGATTAATGTCGCATCCGAAAGGCCAAAAGTGCATTCTTGACTATGAGCTCTGTGTTTAAGAGCCATGACCTCACCCTGAAAACAAAAATAAGGCTCCTTAAATGTTACGTGTACTCAGTGCTTCTATATGGAGTGGAATCATGGACATTGAAAGCGGAAACTATATCAAAACTTAAAGCTTTGGAGCAATGGTTATACAGAAGAATCCTGAAGATATCATGGACAGACAAAGTCACCAATAAGAAGTACTGCGGAGGATGAACACAGCCGCGGATTTGGTCAACATCGTGAAGAGCCGTAAGCTGTAGTACTTGGGACATATAATGAGAGATCAAGGCAGATACGAGCTACCCCAATGCATTTTGCAGGGTAAAATTGAAGGAAAAAGAGCCCCAGGACGAAGAAGAATATCCTGGCTTGCTAACCTGAGGGCATGGTATAGAAAGACTTCAACACAGCTATTTCGTATAGCAACCAACAAAATCATCATAGGCAGAATGATCGCCAACGTTCGGAACGGACAAGCACCCTAAGAAGAAGAAGAAGTCGCAGACTTGTGGACAGGTGAGATGTCCTGTTGAAAAAAAACTTCCACGTCCTGTACATACAAAGTTACTGTGTTTCTCTTTGATTTTGTCGCTAAGTAGGTGATTAAAAAGTTGGAATAATACTCTCGAACACATTTGTACACGCATAAAACACATAAACTTTCCTCTTGAAATAACCGTTTTTACCTTGTCTGTGACTGGAAACGTTTGTTTGTCCATTGCTTTTAGTGTTTTTTAGACCATTCAGGCATACAAAAGTCCTTCGAATTGTGGTGAAAATATACCAGAAATTTCGCGAGAAAAATTTTCTGAGTAGTTTTTTATTTCTAGTTCTTGAGTTGTTACTCTGTAACAACTCAAGAGCACTAGTATCAAAGGTGAAGATAGCCATAATATTAACCAACCTTCTCAACCGAGACGGCACTTTGAACGAAGAAAAAAGAAGAATTTTTGAGTTAAAGTTTTTTGGACACTATCATTTGATAATACACTATGTCTGATATATCACCACTTTTTTAATACTATACGATGACATTTTCCAATCATATCTAGTCGAGAGTAATTCTTTACTATTTGATGAAGTTTTCCAATCATATCCTAGACAGGAGTAATCCATAGAGCTTATATCCACGCTCTAATTCACAATTCTCGTTAGCGTTTTAAACGAAAGTACTTATTACTGCTTTGAATTTAGTTTTTTCCATTGTTTACAAAATCATGTGCTTTAGCGCACTGTCAAAAATTAAAAGATGATTGCACATGCAAATCTTCTTCTTGTGGTGCCTATCCGTTACGGATGTTGGCTACTAGCTTGGCAATTCTAACTTTATTGACCTTGAGCTCGAAATAGTCCTGAAGTGGTCAAGGAAAACCATTTTCGTAAGTTCTGGAGCCAAGATATTCTTCTTCTTTCTTCTTCTTTCCGTAGACCTTTCCCTGTAATATAAGTTGCAGCAGGTTATATCTATGATCGTTTCGCATTATATGTCCAAGATATTCTAGCTTGCGCTGTTTCACTGTGGATATAATTTCACATGTTTTATCCATCCGACGTAGAACCTCAATGTTTGTTATTCGGTCCACCCAGGAGATTCTCAGTATCCATCTATAACACCACATCTCAAACGCCTTGAGTTTTCCCATGGATGCCTCGGTTAGTGTCCATGATTCCACCCTATAGAGCAGCACTGTAAACACGTAGTATCTCAATAAACAGATTTTCGTTTTTAAGGGTAGGTCGTGGCTCTTAAATATCTTGCTCATTCTGACAAACGCTGACCTGTCTTTTTCAATTCTTTGTTTTATCTCAACTTAGTGGTCCCATTGGTCGTTTATGGTGGTTCCTAAATAGTAGTAATGGGGCACTTGTAGTATTTGTTACTGATCTTCCAGTAATTGATTAGGTGGAATATGCTTCTTACTGATGACCATGTACTTTGTTTTCTTGATATTAAAATCAAGCCCGTATTCTTGACTGATTCTCCACAATTGAGTGTCTGTAAACCTTCTAAACTGTCTGCAAAGAGGATGGTGTCGTCTGCATATCTGATGTTATTCAGGCGCTCACCATTTATGAGAATATCCTCTTCGATATGCTCTAAGGCCTGGCTCATGACGTGTTCCGAATAGACGTTAAATAATAGTGGAGAGAGTGTGCAGCCCTGTCGTGCTCCTCTCCTTATTGCAACTTCCTCTGTTAGTCGGTCTTTTATCCAAATGGTTGCTGATTGGTTGTAGTACATGTTCTTGATTACTCGAAGGGCTTTGTTATCCAGATCAGTTGCCTTTATATGCCATGAGCAAATACAAATACGTGTAAATACTCCTCTAAATTCACTCTATCTCTCTCTTAGAGTACATAGTTTTATCGTATAATGCACGGTACTGTCCTGCTAATAAAGCAACAAATGTATTATTTTCAAAATTTACTAATCGGCAAATGATACCTGATTTATTGACTACCTGAAAAGACTTGGATAATCATATATTAGGTGTTTTGTACAAATCTATATCATCTTGATTTCCTTTGTTGGCTGCTCATACTTCTTTAATAGCATAAATGCGCTTTACTTAAGACACCCTGTAACACTGGTTTATTTAAGGAATATTTCATTTTAAAGCCATCTATCAGGGCCTCAACTTAACTTATTACATTATACTAAAATTGTAGACATTACCTTTTTTAATTATTTATGTTGTGAACATTTTAAAAAAATAAAAAAGAAGTATGTGTGACCTATATAGTAGACGCTAAAGGTAAACTAACTTGCGTGTTTTGTATTTTTATAATGTGTATTAATTTAATCTTATAGATTTTTTTATTTCTTTCTAAAGGGTGGCCTAGAACAGCAATTGCTTCAAGCGAATCCCATTTTAGAAGCCTTCGGTAACGCCAAAACCATCAAGAATGACAACTCTTCACGTTTCGTAAGTATACTTTATTTTATGTGGTAATATATATTAAGAAATTATGAAAAGCTTTACAAATGTTTTTGATTTTTACATTATAGTTTTAACTGAATGATTATGCATTACTTCCTTATGTTTGTCGATACTGCTCAACCCCATGCAAACGTTAATCTTCAAACTTCGTCTCTAAATATGACTGGACGAATCATACTGTTCATCATAGCTTCTATTTTGCCCAAATAAGCCGATTTATTTTCCTGTTTTTATTCATATCAGTAAAAGCAATCACCATAAGAGTTATGTAAAATTACAACTAAACAACTGTTACTCCATAAATATTATTTAAAACACTTCACAATAACATCTACAAGAAAAGCTCGGCTCCAAACATAAAAGAATAAAAAATTAGTAAAGAAACGAAACAAAAAGTAGATGATGCAAAGGTTGCTGGTATGAGCATATATGTATGAATGTTAGGGAAAAATGTCTCAATATGTGTTAAGTTGTTGTAGATATTTATTAAGACAAGGATCGGTCGACCGATTTCTCAATTCACCAGTTTATACAACATCATCAGGCCCTCAGAAAACTTAAGGCTGAAGTTGATTATATAATATGTAAGCCAATGTGTATACAACTAAAAAAATTCATTTAAAGCAATACTAAGATATAGGACTTAGTTAATAGTCAGTTTTGACCAAAAAGTAGTATAAAGTCTAAAAATAGTATAAAATTGATACAACAGTAGTTTATATTACGTGTACAGTAGTAGCTATATAACGTGAAGTGTGTTTCAAAAGAACCAGCTTTAGTCTGATGTTAACTGGTGTAAATATTTTATACCTTTTATACACTTTTTATATAACTGACCATTAACTAAGTCCTATATATTGTTAATATCACATTAAATGAATTTTTTTAGTTGTATACACATTAACTTACTGTTGACATTTTCTACTTCAGCCTTTAGTTTCTTGAGGGTCTGATGATGCTGTATCACTTGTAAACAGTGAATCTGGTCGCACAATATTTGTCTTAATAAATACCCACAACAACCCTACAACACGGGTTGCGAGCATAACTTTTTACCCTAACCTTCAAAAAAGGTGAAGATTGTAGAGTACTGAATAATCGGAGAAATGTTGACCAACAAGAAATAAACACCATAAATAAAGAAATCTCTGAAGCTATCAGACGAGACATTAGGAAATACAAGAACGAGAAAATTTTGAACACTGTAGATGAAAACAAAAACATACAAGCATTGAGAAGAAAAATCGAAAATGACAAAAAGGAAGTATTTCAACTTTTACACGAAAATGGAAATATAGTCTCAGATAGACTAGGCATATTACATTTAGTGGAAAGTTTCGGTGAAACATATCAAAGTCAAGTTATTCCAGAGATTATTGACAGGTCAATACGAAAGGTATAGAATGTAGTACTACCAACTTTCTAACAGACCCATTAATATTCAGTTCAGCGAGGTGCTATTTCTCAAGCGAGCAAGCACCCAGTTTTAGAGACTTACACACCCCTTAAGAATGAAATTGGGGTAATACAACTCATTGGGGCGAGGAGGATTAACTCGTGTAAACAGGAATCACATCATTCTGTCCCTCCATTCTACAACACCCCCCGCCCATATATAGGCCTTTCGTATATGCAGCAAGACCTTATCAATGTGGTAGTTCTGGGTTTAAGAACTCTCACCCGGAAATCCATACCCAGAACTATGCTAGGGACAGCGTATGGCGAATTATAGTCACTACAAAGAATATAGCCTTGGTGGAATCAATAGATCTGAATGAGTGTGTAGAGAAACAGTATGGATCACAATGAATGGAGTAGTTGCAAATTAGGGTTGGTAATGGTCTTGAGTAGGTTGTGGAACAAATATTTGATAGTAGGTGGGGTTCGTGAGAGTGGGTGTGGGTGGGTTTTTAGGGGGGGGGGTGAAGTTGATTGTGGGGGGGGGGGGGGTTGTGGGGGAGTGGGGGAGAGTTTATTGGGGTTGGGGTTGGTGAAAAGGGGGGTGTTTTGGGATATATAGTTATGTTGATTAAAAGGTGAGGTGGTGTATGGGGAGAGTGTTTGGGGGTGGGTATTGTAATGTGTGTGATAGGGGTTGTTTGGATTATGAGGTGTTTTGTGTTTTTGGTGTTTAGTCAAATGTTGTGGGGTATATGGGGGATTGATTTAGTGTTTGAATAGGAGGTATGATTGTGAATTTAAAGGGGATTTAGTTAAATGTTAGTTTGGTAGTTAAGTTATTGTTATTGTAGGGAATATTAGAAGGATTTTTTGGTTGTTAGTTGTGTGTGGTTTGAAAGGTGAGGTAGATTATAAGAGGGTAAGTTATAGGGGTTAATTGGGTTTGTTTTAGAGTGGGAGTAATGGGTTTTTATTAAGTTTAGTTATGGAATAGGTTATTTGGTAATGAGGATGTTCAGTTTTAGAGTGAGTACGAGCCGAGCGAAGATATAACTCCTGTTTTTTTTTTGGGCTTAATTCCCCGCAAAGCATTTCACACAGTGGAATTCTTTTCAAGCCAACTCAGTTTTCCAAATCCAGCGTGGTCAGAGACCACAAATGAGGTGGGCTGATGACATTAAGAAGATCGGTGGACACAACTGAAGGGAAGTGGCGCAAAATAGAATACACTGCATTGCTTTGGGGAAGACCTATATTTAAAGTTGGATTACTTAAGGCTGAAGAAGAAAAAGATCCGAATATCATTCGAAGTATATACGAAAATTCAACAACAATAATTGTAAACCTTCATTCCATGACTGAGGTAAAAATTGGCAGAGGAATGCAGCAGGTAGATACTTTGTCGCAAACATCGATGGACATAAATTAAATCATCTCCAATATGCTGATGGCATTGTTCTCATAACAGACGACTTAGAGAATTTAAGGATAAACTATGGAAAAACAAAAATGTTGACAAATCTCGTCCCCAATGAGCTAATAGAGATCGAGAAATCGTCCATAGCAGTTGTGGAAAGATATGTGTATTTGAGCCACAAAATAAGATTAACGCTATACAACCAGACATCTGAGCTACTCAGAAGAGTAAGTTTAGATTGGGCTGTATTCAGAAAAATAACAGACGTGTTTAAACAAATGTCTAAATTCATTTAAAAAGGAAAGATTTCCTTTGTGTTTTCTACGAGTCCTCACATACGCAGAAGAAACACTAACTCTCACAAAATCATCAGCAAAAAAATTGAGAACACTTTCTTAAGTTACGAGGGTCACATTTCACGAGAATAATTTTCTATTTTTTAAGTATCCTTGTCCAATGACCAATATCCTTATTGCTATCCTCGGAAAATATAATATATCAATTTATTACAATAAAATAAATGGCTGCTATAAAAGGTTTTATTAAGGTTTTCAACAAAAAATAGGAACCTTACAAAACTAAATTTAATTATATAATCTATTTTAGGGCAAATTCATCAGGATCAATTTCGATGCCTCTGGTTTTATTGCTGGAGCCAACATAGAAACCTACCTATTAGAAAAATCCCGTGCCATTAGACAAGCGAAACAGGAAAGAACCTTCCATATTTTCTACCAACTTCTTGCAGGAGCTTCCGATGCCCAGAGAAGTAAGTCATATTATCTTTCTCTTAGACAATTTTGTTTGTTTCTATAAATTTTTATTTCTAGTTATCGATGTTTTACAAAAGGAAGGAATCAAACAAAACTATTTAAAATATTTTGAATATTCACTAGACAGGTCTTCGTTTATACAACGGAAAAACTTCTTTCCCACGTCAAGTTATTGTCATATTTTTAGTGATTCAGTCATTACACAACTAGTTATGAACTCGACCAATTTGTTTCAAGTATTGAACAAGTTTAACATACCTACAGTGCAATAAAAAATTCTGGTGTAAAATGGTATAGCTAGCAAATTGCAACAAGTAACCACTTAAAAATGTGTAATAATCGGATTACAATTTAATCCAAAGGTTATTACACGTTTTCAAGTGGCTATTACAACGTAATCCAAAGGTTATTTTACCTTTTTAAGTAGCTATTTGTAATTTGCAAACTATGTGTTCACTGATGATGGTCTGATAAGACTGAAAACGTTCTGATGAAAATATAATCTGCTTGGATATTTTAAATAATTTTAAACCACTGGGAACCTTTCCTTTTGTAAATTAATATTAACATAGTTTCAATAAAAGTTATTCTTAATGATTTGATTTTATTTCCTATTCTATAAGAATAACGAACGTCTATTAATATTAATTATTTTTCAGAGGAATTCATTTTGGAAGACCCACGATCCTACGGCTTTCTTCGGGAAGACAATCATATCGTTCCAGGAGTGGATGATTCACTCGAATTTAATGAGACCGTCAAGAGTATGAATATCATGGGAATGACCAGCGACGACTTCAGTGCCATTTTCAGAGTTGTATCAGCGGTGATGCTATTTAGCAAAATGGAGTTCAAACAAGATCGCAGTTCTGATCAAGCCACTCTTCCAGATAACACCGTTGCTCAGAAAATCGCTCATTTGCTGGGATTGTCTGTTACGGACATGACCAGAGCATTCTTGAAACCTAGAATCAAAGTTGGCAGAGATTTCGTCACCAAGAGCCAAACCAAAGAGCAAGTTGAGTTTGCTGTAGAAGCTGTTTCTAAGGCGTGTTACGAACGTATGTTCAAGTGGTTGGTTACACGCATTAACAGATCTCTAGGAAGAACAAAGAGGCAAGGAGCTAGCTTCATCGGTATCCTTGATATTGCTGGTTTTGAAATCTTCGAACTCAATTCTTTCGAACAACTATGTATCAATTATACAAATGAGAAGCTCCAGCAACTTTTCAATCACACGATGTTCATTTTAGAACAGGAGGAATATCAAAGAGAAGGCATTGAATGGAAATTCATTGATTTCGGCTTAGATTTACAACCTACCATCGACTTGATTGATAAACCTATGGGTATCATGGCTCTATTAGACGAAGAATGTTTATTCCCCAAAGCTACCGATAAAACATTTGTCGACAAACTAGTTACAGCTCATTCTGTACATCCTAAATTCAAAAAGAGTGACTTCCGTGGCGTTGCGGACTTTTCCATAATTCATTACGCAGGAAAAGTAGATTATTGTGCCAATCAGTGGCTGATGAAGAACATGGATCCACAAAATGAAAATGTGGTATCTTTGTTACAAACTTCCCAAGATCCATTCGTTTTACATATCTGGAAAGATGCTGAGAGCATAGGAAGAGCTAAAGGAATGTTTAGAACTGTTTCTTACTTGTACAAAGAACAACTGGCCAACTTGATGGTTACCTTGCGCAATACCAACCCCAACTTTGTCCGGTGTATTATTCCAAACCACGATAAGAAGGCTGGCAAAATCGACGCTCCGTTAGTTCTGGACCAATTGAGATGTAACGGTGTTTTGGAAGGAATTCGTATTTGCAGGCAAGGTTTTCCAAACAGAATACCATTCCAAGAATTCAGACAACGATATGAACTACTTACTCCAAATGTTATTAATAAAGGCTTCATGGACGGTAAGAAGGCTTGCGAGGCTATGATCAAGTCGCTCGAATTAGACAAAAACCTATACAGAGTCGGACAATCGAAAATATTCTTCAGAGCTGGAGTCCTAGCCCATCTCGAAGAAGAAAGAGATTACAAAATCACTGATCTTATCGTTAACTTCCAAGCTTTCTGTAGAGGTTTCTTGTCTAGAAGAAATTACCAAAAGAGAGTACAACAACTTAATGCTATCCGCATCATTCAAAGAAACTGTTCTGCATACTTAAAACTTAGAAACTGGCAGTGGTGGAGACTATATACGAAAGTTAAACCTCTTCTTGAAGTCACTAAACAGGAAGAAAAACTCATGCAAAAAGAAGACGAACTCAAACAGGTGAAAGATAAATTAGAACATCATGCTAAAACAGCTCAAGAATTCGAAAAGAAATATCAGCAAGCCCAAGAAGAAAAGGTCATTCTTCAAGAACAGCTCCAAGCTGAAGTTGAGCTGTGCGCTGAAGCTGAAGAAATGAGAGCAAGATTAACAGCCCGAAAACAAGAATTAGAAGAAATTTTACATGATCTTGAAGCTAGAATTGAAGAAGAAGAGGAACGAGCTACTAGTTTGAACAATGATAAAAAGAAATTGCAGCTGACTATTCAAGATTTGGAAGAACAGCTAGAAGAAGAAGAGGCCGCCAGACAGAAGCTACAGTTAGAAAAGGTTCAGTGTGATAATAAATTAAAGAAATTAGAAGAGGATTTGGCTCTGAGCGAAGATACCAATCAAAAATTAATAAAAGAAAAGAAAGTATTAGAGGAAAGAAGCAATGATTTAAGTCAAGCATTGGCCGAGGAAGAAGAGAAAGCTAAACATCTATCCAAACTTAAAGCTAAACACGAGTCTACAATTGCTGAACTAGAAGAAAGGTTATTAAAAGATCACCAACAAAGACAAGAAACTGATAGATCAAAAAGAAAAGTAGAAACCGAAGTAAATGATTTGAAAGAACAAGTAAACGAAAAACGTGTACAAATTGAAGAACTCCAACTACAATTGGGTAAAAGAGAAGAAGAATTGGCCCAAGCGATGGTTAAAGTAGACGAAGAAAGTGCTCAAAAAGCTATATCACAAAAAGCTCTACGAGAACTAGAAAGTCAACTTACCGAGCTACAGGAAGACTTAGAGGCTGAAAAAGCAGCCAGAAGCAAAGCTGAAAAATTGAAACGTGATTTGAACGAAGAATTAGAAGCTCTTAAAAATGAACTTTTGGATTCTTTAGACACAACGGCTGCTCAACAAGAGCTCAGATCGAAGAGAGAACAGGAATTGGCAACGCTGAAGAAGACGTTGGAAGAAGAGGCTCAACAGCATGAAGGATCCGTAACTGATATGCGTCACAAGCATTCACAAGAGCTGGGTATCTTAAATGAACAGTTAGAGAATCTGAAGAAAGTAAAAGCCAACCTGGAAAAGGCCAAACAGAGCCTTGAAGCCGAAAATGCCGATCTTACAAGCGAATTGAGGAATGTTGGAGCGAGCAGGCAAGAAGGTAAATATTTCAAATTTGTCCGAAATATATGTGTTATACTTAGTAAATTCTTTACCAAAATTTCGAAAAAGTGTTACGTCTATATTGATTTTGTAATAGTTGGAAATTTTCGTCTTAAGAACTGAAGTTAAAGATTTTTTTATAAAACAACTCTATTTTCTCTGATTCTAAACTGTGTCCAATTTGACTAAAATAACAAATATCAGTCGTGCATTTAGGCCAATTAAGTTAGTTTTTTACTCGACACAACTGTATTCGCTATGTGTAAGTTCCGAAGAGCGACATCTAGTGGCATAAATCAGCGAAGGTGTTAGCACTATTAATATTTTGTCTTATATTAGCTGCATATAAAGTGACTTAAATTTGTTTATTTAATACAATAATTATGGTAATATATATCAGTATTAATATTTTGATTAATTAATTAATATTAATAATAAAACTAATTATTAAATTGCAGTATTACTATTAATATGGATGCAATAATAAAAACTGGATTCCAGAAAATAAATCATAAAATACCTTTTCAACAATCATATCCACTGTAAAATACAATTTACAGTGGATATGATGGTTGAAAAGTACCTAAGTACACTTTAACTAATGTTCATTTTAGAGTAAATTGAACAAATTTGAACCAACATAATTATTATTGAAATTTACACTTTATGTAAAATTTAACTTAAATTGAACTTTATGTTATTGAAATTTATACTTTAAAGTGAACTTTAATTTAATGTTCACGTCAAACTTATTACGAAATCGAGCGTAAGAATACAGAATTTGTTTATATTACTTACTTCTGCTTTATTATGATATAAATCCAATTTTCTCCTTACATTAATTTGTGCTTACAAGTTGGAAATCAATAGAACTTAAATTTCCTATTTTTTTGTTGTATTTCTAAAATTTATAACACAGCATTTGCGAAATCCCATTTTCTACAATAACTACTTACGAAATATGCTAACAAAGTTGCAAGATTTCACCGCTGCACGCGCACGATCGTTTCTCGTATCCCCTCCAACCACTTGCATACAGCGAATAGACTGGTTCGAAAAATGAAATGTATATATGAGATAGTGTAAAAACGCTCATCTAGGGATTCATCAATTTTTTATTGTAACAATTCTTAAATAAACAATCAAAACGTCAAACTTATTATTTTGTTCATAACTTAAACACTTAACAGACAACTTTTTCAGGAAAAAAAGATACACAAAATTAAAATCAGTTAATAAACAAAATAATTATTGCAAAATAAAAAACAACAATCCGCTGTTTTTGAATATAGCGAACAATCGTCCGCTAAAGCATTTCGACTGCTGCCCCGCTTTGGCTGATCGAGTAGATATTTGTAATTTCTAAATACAGATCTATTTTTTCCATGAAATATAGCTAAAACTCGTTGCATTTTAGGTGAGAGACGTCGTAAACAAGCTGAGAGTCAGTTAGCAGAACTTTCAGTAAAACTAACAGAAGTAGAAAGATCTAAAGTCGAATTGCAAGAGAAAACAATCAAATTACAGCAAGAATTAGAAAACGTCGCCCAACAACTTGAAGGAGCTGAGTTAAAGTAGGCATCACATATATTTCAATGGTTTTCCATTATTTATATTATTTGATTTTTTAGGGCGTCTGCTGCTGTTAAGAGTCAAGCAACCATAGAATCACAATTTACCGAAGTGCAAGCTGCTCTTGAGGAAGAAACCAAGCAAAAACTGGCTCTAAGTTCTAAACTACGACAACTAGAGTCGGAAAAAGAAACTCTTCAAGAACAGATGGAGGAAGAAGAGGAGGCCAAGAGGAACATAGAAAAACAGGTAAGTTGTACTCTATCGTTTTGTTTCAAATGTTATTCATTATTGAAATATATTATTCAATATCATTGAAACTATTCGTTTTTTCTTAACTTAATTATTTTTATTAAAAAATCGCCACTAAAAGGACAACTACTGGGTAAATAATAGTACTTGTAATAAAGTAGTTGGCTAGAAGAGTGTATCTGTATTTGAATTGCTCTATTCGCAACTTTCACTGAATTTACAAATATTATACTGAGGATATTTTGACAATCTAGCAAACAATGTATAACAGTAGAATTACTAGCTATAACGTGGGTTCTAATTGTTTAGGCTTCGACTAGCTCTGTGTCGCAGGTGAGAGACATCTTATCTTAAATGCAAATCTGAATAAAGAGAAATGGCAGAGAGAAATAAATAAGTAAGCAAATATTGCCAAATAAGTTTTACAAATAAAGATGAAAAAATGATACTTATGGCAAAATATATTTGTGTTATTTCCGGAAGTAAGCTGAAGCTTTAGTTTTCAACATGATTGTTTCATGTAGCTGAATGTTTGGATATAGCTAGTTTTTAGTTTAGATACTTATTGGCTTCATATAGTTTTCACTCTGGTAGCAGCCATGTTGCCTATCTGTCCCGTATATGTGGTACATCATCATATGTGGGATATCCCACCAAAAATATGGCAAGAAAAACTCCAATTAAAAGGAAAAAATCCAAGTTTGATTACGGGGAGTATACAAAGAGTAAATGGGAATAGAATTGAAATAAATGAAAATTGAAATTGAAGAATAGCCATTAGAAAAAAAATTTAGTTAATAGGAAAGTTCTTATTAGAGTGCCGTCTCCCTACGGAGGTTGACAATCATAATAGCTATTTTTATTTTAGAACTTGCTGCTCTAAACAAATCCATCGATCTGCATTAGTACCAATCACGTAGATTCTTTAACCATGAGTGCTGCCTTCGGCCAACAAATCTTCTTCCTTGAATCTATCCCAGTATTATGAGTCTCAAAATTTCATATTTTGGTCCCCTCATCACGTGGCCTAGGTATTCCAGTTTTGTAGTTTGTATAGTGGTGATTAGTTCTATTTCTTTACCAACTCTCTCCAGTACTTCTTTATTTGTAATTCTATCAGTCCATGATATTTTCAATACTCTACGGTATAACCAGAGTTGTTTCTTTCTCAATAGGAAAGTTGGGCGTCAACTATTTTTAGAAAAAAAATGGTAAAACAAAATAGAAAGTTAATAAATAAATAAAATCAAAAGAACTTGGAATAAAATAATTATTTTAAGAAAAGTAACAAACGTGTGATATTTATAACGTTACAACATAAACAAAATTAACTGAAACAATACCTGAAACATTTTCACTGTATGTAAGCAATAAGTATATTATACAGTAATTATGTTTCACCAAGCCATGACTTCTTCATATGTAAGGTATAACAAACTCAGCATTTAAAGCAGTTGTACCTTATCAACTGAACAAGCCGAAAAGGACGGTGAACTACCTGAAAACTATCGACCCATTGCCCTCCTCAGTTGCTGCTACAAACTACTAGAGCGACTTATATATAACAGGATATACCCCATCACCGACACTGTGATACCAGTCGAACAAGCTGGATTTAGAAGCGGGCGTAGCTGTAGTGATCAAGTACTGCCCTTAACGACATTTATTGAAGCCGGTTTCGAAAAACGGGAAAAAACAGCCGTAACGTTTATAGATCTAACGGCTGCATATGACACTGTGTGGAGAGAAGGCCTGATCTATAAGCTAATGAAGGTCATACCATGCCTGAAAACCTGCCAACTAATCAATAACCTTCTAACCAACAGACTGTTTCAAGTATATATAAACGATACAAAGAGCAATGTCAGAAAGCTAAATAATGGCCTCCCACAGAGTTCAGTGCTTGCTCCACTATTATTTAACATTTACACAGCCGATCTTCCAGAGACAAAATCAAAAAAATTTGCTTACGCAGATGACCTGGCTATCGCATTTCAAAACCAAGCCAAAGATGTTGGAGAAAGGGCGCTTACCGAAGACTTAAGGGTTCTCTGCGACTACTTTAAACAATGGCGACTTCGCCCTAATACAAACAAAACTGAGACAAGCCTCTTCCATCTCACAAATCAGCTTTCGGATGACACCCTTAGCATCACCTTCAATGGCGAGACTTTGAAACATAATAACAACCCTAAATACCTGGGTGTAACGCTCGACAGATCACTGACGTTCAAAACCCATCTTACGAATGTAGCTGCCAAAGTGAGAACCCGTAACAACATAATAACAAAGCTTGCTGGAACGACATGGGGTGCCACTGCGGATACACTTCGAACCTCCTCACTGGCCCTGGTGTATTCTGTCGCTGAATACTGCGCACCGGTATGGCTAAATAGCGCTCATGTCAACAAGATTGATGTTCAACTAAATTACACTATGAGAGTAATATCTGGTACTATTAAATCAACTCCACTAAGATGGCTTCCAATTCTGAGCAATATAGCACCACCAGATATTCGACGAACGGCAGCACTTGTCAGAGAATATCAGAAAATCATGGCAAATAATCGTCTGCCAATCCACCAGTATATTCCGCACGCCGCACGAGACCAACAAAGACTGAAGTGCAGACAACCCCCTGTCCAATCCGTTCAGGGAATGGGTGATAGCTACAATAAGCAAGAGCAGTGAACGAAAAGATGGATGCCAACAACAGAGCCAGACGTCATCAAAATAACAAGTACGTCGATCGGCTTCACTGGATCAAACCTGCCACGCCCTATATGGACAAAATTAAATCGCATACGCACGGGTCATGGCAAATGTGCCGATTCTCTATACCGATGGGGTCATTCAGAAAGCCCACAATGTGATTGTGGATCCCCGAGACAGACCATCCAACACATCATGGCGGATTGCCCAATCCGCAGATACAGCGGGGACCTTCAAGATTTTGCAGAGTGTTCTCCTGGTGCAATTGAATGGCTGTGCAATTTTACATTAATATTTAATATTTAACTTAGGTTACAATTCCAATTTGAACATAATTATTATCTAAATACTACTTTTATCGTATTGTAATTATCCATACGCTAAATAAATAAAAATAAATAAACTGAACAAGCCACGGTGTGGTGAAACTTATTGTGTGTATATAAATACAGTGAACATTTTTCAAAAATATTTACATTTTCTCTTTGAAACATGTTTTTTATTACATAGCACTCTGTTTAAGACTTTTTTATGTTCTCTATGTTCTATATGGAACAGTATCTATGGAAAATTTGCAAACGTCTACTTCTACTTCTTATATTAAGATTCCTTCAAGAACCTTGGTTGCTATATAATCCATTTTCATTTTCTTTCTATTTTGTACTTTTGTATATTTTTTCCTTTGGTTTTCTAAAGTCTTCTTTGATATCTTCCATTTTAGGAAAACCACGAATGACTCAAACGTATAGAAACAATTAGTCAAGGTGTACAAGAGTAAATTGATTTATATAAAAATTTAATGCTAGATTGTAAATCTATTTAGCAAATTAATATTCTCGGATAAGTGAAGTTTTTATTTGCGTACTTAAAAAATGTTAAGCTATTCCCTTAAAACTAATGTTGTCATATTTCCTAATTGTTTCTGGTTTTTAGGTTGCTGTATTGAGTGTTCAACTCGCCGAAGCCAAGAAAAAGGCAGAAGACGAAGCCGAACAGGCCGCCATACTTGAAGAAAGCAAGAAGAAATTGGCCAAAGACCTGGAAGCTGTCCAGAGTAAAGTAGAAGAGTTAACGGCAATAAACGATAAACTGGAAAGAAGTAAAAAGAAGATTGCTGCTGAATTAGAAGACGCCAATATCGATCTGGAAACGCAGAGACAGAAAGTATCTGAATTAGAAAAGAAACAGAAAAATTTCGATAAAGTCTTGGCAGAAGAGAAAGCTGTTAGTGAACAGTTGGCTACTGAAAAGGATATCGTTGAAAAAGAAGCAAGAGACAAGGAAACCTTAGTACTCTCCTTGAAAAGGGAACTGGATGACTCTAACGTTAAAATCGAAGAGCTAGAAAGAATTCGCAGACAACTACAAGGAGAACTCGATGAACTTGTCAACAACCAAGGAACTGCTGACAAAAATGTCCACGAATTGGAAAAAGCCAAGAGATCGCTCGAAAGTCAATTGGCCGAACTTAAAGCTCAAAATGAAGAACTTGAAGATGAACTACAGTTGACTGAAGACGCCAAACTTCGATTAGAAGTCAACATGCAGGCGCTTAGAGCACAGTTCGAACGAGACATACAAGCTAAAGAAGAGCAGGCTGAAGAAAAACGTCGTGGCATCGTCAAACAGCTCAGAGATCTCGAAGCCGAGCTGGACGAGGAGAGAAAACAAAGAGCAGCAGCTGTTAGTACAAGAAAGAAGCTCGAGGGTAAATATTTTTCAATTTTATTTTGTTTTTGTTTGTTATTTTTATATTAATTTGTTAGGCGATATTAAAGAGTTAGAGGGACAGATCGAACTTCACTGTAAGGTAAAGGAAGACGCTCTCAAGCAGTTGAAGAAATCACAACAACAGTGCAAAGAGGCTATCAGGGATGCCGAAGAATGTAGAGCTGCCAGAGATGAATATGCAGCGGCAAGTAAAGAGGCTGAAAGGAAAGTCAAGACTTTGGAAGCGGAAGTACTTCAATTAACGGATGATCTCACTAATTCCGATAAACTCAGAAGGGCAGCCGAGGCCGAGAGGGATGAATTACTTGAAGAAATTAGCAATAGCAATAATAAGGGTATGTTAATACATCTATTTAGACATAAGGATTATTAAATTTTATTTTATATATAGGTACTTTACTTATCGATGAAAAACGCAGATTAGAAGCAAGAATAGCAACTTTAGAGGAAGAACTCGAAGAGGAACAGAGTACTAACGAAATTCTACAAGATAGAACTAGGAAAGCTCAATTGAATATTGAACAGTTGACTGCTGAACTTACTAATGAAAGATCAACAGCGCAAAAACAGGAATCCCATAGAGTTTTGCTTGAGAGGCAGAACAAGGAGCTCAAAGCTAAACTGGCCGAACTCGAAACGGCTCAAAGAACCAAGACTAAGGCAACCATCGCTGCATTGGAGAGTAAAATTGCCAATCTTGAAGAACAACTTGAGGTGAGTTACTTGTTCTTACTTATGAAAAGCGTGTATTTTTGTTTTTATATAAAGAGAATACGTCTGTCTGTCTGTCCGTTTCTTTTTTGTACAAATATGTTAATTTATTGTGGTTTATAGGTTGAAGCGAAAGAGCGCCTGGCCCAACAAAAAACCAATAGAAAACTGGACAAGAAAACAAAGGAATTGGTTATGCAGCTGGAAGACGAACGACGACATGCAGACCAATACAAAGAGCAGGTAGAAAAGGCCAATGCCCGAGTCAAAGCATTGAAACGGCAGTTAGATGAAGCCGAAGAAGAAGTGACAAGAGAAAAAGCACAGAAACGAAAGGCGCAAAGGGAATGCGAAGATATGCTTGAGTCACACGAGTCTATGACCAGGGAAATTAATAATCTTAAGAGCAAACTGAGGTGAGTTAAAAATAGTACTGTTTTAACTGTGAAGAATCTGTAAATATTCAAGAAGGTTGAGGCTTCTGTTAAATTATATTAAATAAAATATATATTTATTAACCTTCTACATATAAGTTGTATATTAAGACAAAATTATCGGAAAGCAAATTCATAATATTACGATATGTCTATCAGAAACACCACTAAAGATAGTCACTGGACTTCCCTCGTGTCATAAGTGTAAAAAATTAATAAAAATATACACTTTTTCATAATATATCTTACGTTAATAGAACTATTTATCTTCGTCATTTTTTTCATCTTCTTCACAGTAAATGTGAGTTCCAAATTTAACGCTGCAGTTTAAGAAAGCTGGAATATAATAAGTAATGTTCTATTTCCCACCTTTTCGTTGGACTGCACCCTAGAACGATAAGGAAACTGCAAATATTAAGGAACAGTTAATGCCTCGCTTTTGAGAATGGACATAGAGAAAAATATAAAGTTATATATATATAAAAATATAGAGTTATTTCTTAGGTTCCACCTAGCATTTCTCTCTCATCAAACTACCTTTCACCTGGAGTGAAAAGTTGATCGATGATTGATGATTAAGTAATTACCTAATGGGAGCAATGAATTATTGTAAACAATCCAAGTCCATCTTTGAATCATGATACTTAAAACTCTACTTAAAAATATAGTAAACTATTAGGCAGAATTCATAGTAAGCCCCAATACCCATTCAATTCAAACCAGAAAAACAATTGCCAAACCTGTTTTTGCTCCTTGCTCATTTGATAATTACACATTGTAAAGATTATGGTTTATAAGAACCTAAACTCCTTATTTTTTAGATTAAGGAATTAAATAAAGCGTCCAATGTAAATTTGTAGAGGTCTTCTGGCATTAAGTATGTACAGAACGGACAGTAGGTCATCGGTATAAGTAGTGCTTGCTGGCAAAGGCATTTATCTACCATTAGGAAAACTATATCCAGAAAGGTTGTGAGATAGCTAGCAACCTACGTATCAAGAAGGCAGGATCAGAACAATGAATAGGTTCAGAACAATGGATAGACCATAGGTCTGATGAATGAAATAACAGAGCTAATCTGATTTGCTAAAGGCATTGTTTAAACATTCATTGGAGCTTCCGTACAAAAATAAGATATCTAATCTATCTCTCTGCCAAAATCAGAACAATGGATAGACCATAGGTCTGATAAATGAAAAGCAGAACCTAATCTGCTTTGTAAAAGCATTGTTTAAACGATCATTTGAGCTTCCGTTCAAAAATATCTGATCTATCTATCTATGTCTAGTCTTCTACTAATTATAAAAATACACACTTCGATTCGTCGATTTTATGGCGCAGTATCTAGGAGTTTTTTTCTATTTTCTTTCATTAAATATCACAAAAAGTGACGCTTTTTAAAATATTAATAAAACCAAGTATTGGTTAGGTTTTGAAATGATTAAGATGCATCTAAGCAAAAAAATATATTATTTTTCAATTTTAATATAATTACAAATTTTTCTTTTGTTGCTATATAAATGAAATAATTATTTTTTTAGCCTCAAATGATCAAAGCCGGAGGTATATTTTGGTATGTCATTGAAACAATCGAAAAAATTTTAAAGCGAATAAATTTTGTGCCAAAAATAGCTTGAAATAACTCTTTAATTGGCTGGCAACTGTATATAACAACAATTATCATTATTTTTTCATCTTCACAATTAAAAAAAAATCATTTATTTATATTTCCATATTTTAATTATTATTATTATTCATAACTATATTATAATCTAACCATTGTAAATATTTCTATATTATTTAACGCATTCCTGGGAATATATGTAACATAATTTATTTTTGTTTTTTCTGTGGAGTAGTAGTACAGAATAAAAAAAATTCTACTTTTCTAAAAAAAAATTTAGATTATTGGGGGAATATCGAGAGTTTTTATCATGTCTTCTTTTAGGAGACATAATATTAATGTCATAATTATTATGCAAGCGTGATCAACAAGCCCTTTGAATAAACTGATACTTCCCAAACCAAATAAGTGTCGATGATATTGATTAATACCAAGATACAAGATCGTAGTGTTTGGCAACGGGAAATAATGGCGAAAATGATTGTAGAGTGAACTTAAAATTAATGATATAACTAATTGTCAAGTTTAATTTAGTTGTAACTTAATTGTGCAGTATGCAGTTAGTAAATACAGTGAAAATTTTTCAAAAATATACTTTAAATGAATTCATTTATAATAAATTTCGATCAAACTTGTCCTCAGTTCATTTTATTTCTTTTATATAGGACATATCATTCCTGTTGTCAACTATTTCGGAAGTATTAACGAAAACAGTCAGGTTTATTACCGAGATAGTTTTAACCATTCTGTCGTACTACTCCCCAAGAAGAAACAAAAATGCGAACTTTAAACCATCCTAAGAATTTTATTATCTAGCATATCTCAACTCACAACCCCGCCAGCTTTCACTACAAACGAACAATTGCAAACGAGTTTACCGGAAGCAATAAAGAAAATGTGGGGGGTTGCTTTCGAAATTAAGTGAGTTCGAGTGTCCCCCTACCTATGTTACTGTGACCCTGAGCCCATCCGAATAATTTTATCCATTCCCATGGGATATTAACTTTCCACAGAAGTGAACATAACGATTGTATAGAGCTTTGTTTTGTATAAATTGCCCCAATTTTGGTTTGCGTTTAGTTAAGGACTGTTCTGAAAAATTTATAGCTTTTCCTAATGAACTTTTTTAAATTTTGATTAAAGCAAAAACTACAGCTTTCCCAAAATAGCTCTTCTGGTAACTACAGAATAACTTTATTATTATTACCAAAGTAATGAGAAATGATGGCTAATAAAGAGATAAGGACGTACTATTTACTTTTTTAATTTGCTGTTAAGTTTGTCACTCCATGACAGTCTAAAAGTAAGTATAACTGAGATTAGAATGTGAGTCCGATTGCATTAAAACATACAAACAATTTACCTTGGATAGCGGTACTGCTTTCTGCGAGATTTTATATTTTTAATATTATCTGCAGAGGATTAAAAAACTAAAGGAACAATGGAACGGAAATCAGAAGTGTGTATATGTTAAATAAGATAGAACCGAGCTCCGATCTCTGGGGAACGCCACTTGATATTTTTCGTCACTTAAGAGTACCATGGATATTCACTGAAAAATGTTGATCGATGAAAAACTCTGAAATCAAATTTAATAGCTGTCCTCGTATTTCACAGTGATTCAACTTAGCAAGCAATCGGTTTCTAGACACTTTATTAAAAACTACTAAAATCCAGCTAATTTATGTTGGTCTTGTTTTCTTTGTCAAGTGTCATAGTTCAGTCTGATAAAGAGTTTAGTAAGTCTGTTACCAAAGACCTACCTTTAGAAAAACCATGTTTTACTTACTCAAATTATCAGCAATAATTGATTTCATCTATGATTTTAGTAGCTATGGGAACTAAACTGATAAGCATGTAGTACCTTGCATCAAATTTGTCCCCGTTTTTGAAAATTGATGTGGCTGAATCTGTTCTCCAAGTTCTAAGTAAGGTAACAGAAACAAAAGACAGAATTAGTTTTCATTCATATCACCCACGCAGGTACTTTGGGAAAGTTGTAATTTAAATGTACTAGAAATATGGAGATCTATTTAATAACTAATTAGACATATTACAAAGCTAATTATTTAAAAATAGTTTCTGCAACAGTCCTTATTTTGCATGGTAAGTTGTTTTTTAATTAATTTTTAATCCACATACGGTAGGTTTGGTTAATAAGTAATGTTGAAAGATTTACATGATCAATTTTCTCTCCACCACTTTCTATTTTGCTACTACATCAGAGGAATCTTTCTACAAAGATACCAAAGTATTGATGAGAATTTTCAATAAGCATCAATGTTCTGTATTGTGTATACCCAGCGATATAACTGGTCAACCAAGTTGTTTTAGGAAAACGGTGGATATTCAAATGATGTACATTATAGTAAAATTCACTTGAAACATTGTGAAAATAGTGTTAGCGTTATGGCAGACTAGGTTGGTATTTAAACCCTTTATTTACCAGACCTGATCATCGACGCAGTGCCACCGTTCACAGGGTTTTTGAAGTGCCAGCAGTACCAGCGATGTATATACCAGCTCATTAAATACAAAGAAAAATTCAGAAAATGCCCTTTAATGTTCAAAAGAATATAAAACGAAAGTATTTTTAATAACTAACTATAAACTAAATATGAAATGAATACGAAAGTAGTCATTAGAATTGTTCCTGGATATGGTAAATGCCAAAGCAAGGATATGCGCAGAGACTCACTTCACATTCCCGACACATGTACCTTGATTCGCGCCGTTTCTTTGCTTGAGTCTTTGTTATTGAGCAAACAGTGCTTCTACGAACTTTGTTGTTGGGGAAAATATCAGGAAAATGTCTACTTACAAGACGAAAAACGTTTCGCACAGGCACTACAGTTGTATGTTTTGATAAATGATACCTAAAAATAACATCTAATTGTAACAAGATAATTTCAAGATTAGATCCACATACCTGTCTAGAAGCTGACGAATAAGATTCAAGTGAAACTAGGTCAATGGTGTTTTCTCTGGGTGTTCTGTAAGGTATATTACATGTGCATTTAGAATAGAAAGGTCCAATATGTGAAAGAAGAGCTTTTTATACCATTTGACGGTTTTCCTGACGCTTTGCGTGCTGCGAGCAATAGCACAGCGATAAATGTAAAAAATTCATTTTCTGTAAGTGGAGACCAAGCAATCTTTTTATTTTTGCAAACTTCCGATGCAGCAAAATTATTTGTTTCATGTATAATTAAATTAACGGTACCTAGATTTAGAAAGGAAAGAAAACAATCTATTTCCCTGGCAGGATTGTCAATATTATCTAAATGGGCACCTGAACTTGTGTCATCAAACTCGTACACGACAGGAACAAATTGCTGTTTATCCAACTGTATACTAAAATCATCCGCTAAAGCTCTTTTGCTTTCATTTCTCGATGTATTTGCTACCACAACTTTGGCTTCGTCCTTATCAGCACCTTCAGTCTCAGAAATAGCTTCATCACTCGCATAAATAATATTAACAATCTCCTCCTCTTCTGAATCATCGCTATCTGGTACATAATCGCTTTCACTTTCTACAAAAGGCTCTTCATCGGAATCCAAGCATGCCAGTATATCATCATATTCTTTTTGCGTTAGTCCACACAAACCACCTGTATCGCATGAGCGCCTTCTTTTTCTCGAATCAGACATTTTCTTGAAATTTCACAGTACATTTGCACTGCAACAGTAACAGCAGAATACTGCGTAGTCCGTGCTAACGTGATAATTGCGGTACAAGACGCATGCTAAAAATAGACCAAAAACCTGACCATACCCGGCAGCTACCGAAACGCCGTGTATCAGAAGCTGCTATATCAATACGGCAGTGGGTTCATCACAAAGCATGTTCGAACGTACCAATACGGGATTAGGGCTGATGGCACTGTAAAAATGCCGGAAAGATGCGGAGTGGGGCTGGAAGAGGTGCAAAAAAAATTTGATGCCGTATACAAACATCTTGGTATTAAAAACGTTTTCACTCGAGAACGTATATATACGTCAATGGGAACAGTGGCACTTTTCCCCAACCGTATATATACGTCGCTGGTAAAGAAAAGGTTAATCATTCCGCACGCATTGAACCACACTTTCTAAAGACAGGGCCGCTTTGACTCTCAGTTGTGTATATATATTCAATTCTATAACGTAGCATTTAAAACTTTTCCTATCGGTCTAGTATGGTATATATTGGTAGAATATACAGAAATGCTAAAATAAGCATTAAGCAATATAAAAATCTTTCAATAATAATTTTTACAAATTACAATACTTAAACTAATCTTTATGTTAAAACTATTCATGTTGTTACGTTTTTTTTTGTGCGTGAGGGATTAAGTGAAGCAAACGTGGTTTAACTTACTTTATTTTTAACTCAGTCAACTACAAAAACTCACTAAATTACAAATATCATAAATTTTAATTACTTGAATATGCAGGGATATCGCTTTACAAAACAAACACAACTAGCCAATACTCATAAAATTGATTTATCAAAGGCCGATGTATAGATAAAGAACATTTGTTCTAGAAATAGCCTGCAGGTGACGATAGAACGCCGACTCGAATATCCGAGATTAGGTCGAACAATATATTTAATTGAAACTTCGAAGGGATACATAAGAGTCGAATTCATTGAACTAAATCATCTGTTAGAGTTTTTATAAATAAGCATATCCATGTATTCTGAAGATAGATACATTTACAGATAGATATATAGGGGACCCCGACACTTTTCTTATGTAAAAGTGGTTTCAGTTAAATTGGCTGAGACGTAGCTTTAGTCATGCTTTAGTAGTTAAACCAGTGGCGCACCTAGGGGGGTTTTTCCCCAGGACCCTATTCCGTCACTGTTATTTACAAATTTTAAGGACTTAAAATGGTGGAGGTAGCATAAAAAAATTTCGGTGCCCAACCAAACCCCCCCCCCCCCCTCCCCAGAGGAAAATTCTAGGTGCGCTACTAAGTTGAACAAATATGTATTATTCAAAATGACTAAAAACCGACGCTTTGAACCGGTGTTATTCAGAAACAATTGATTTCTAAGTCTTGGCGCAATGGTAACTTTTGCAAAGGCTTTGCAAACCTCTCTGCAAAGTTTCAGAAAATTTAATTAAAACCACCTTTACATGAGAAACAGTTAATATCCATATCAAGTTAATTATACAGAGTATGGCATCAAAAAACGAAGCATTATCGAACATCTTCAAGACACTTGTTTATGAACAAATCGATTTTCATCACACAGGGAACATATTACTACCATATCCACAACTGTCATATCTACTTACCATTCTAGTTGTCTTTATAAGAAATACAATTGAAATAGGGAAAGTACGATCATCCAAAGTTCGTTACCTAATTTTTTTTATTTTTGCCGCTATCTTGTCGATATAAAAACATATTCCGTATTCCGAAACTGAAAGAAGAGATTGGTTAATACAATTCTGCCAAGAACAGGAGCCAATAACCACAACCACATTCTTTAAATTACCTATTATAATGTATTTTGAAATACATTCTGTAGAAATGCTTCTTGAACTGGTTTTATCTTTCTATTTCTACAGAATGCCCTTATAGAGAGTATACCGAGAATAATAAATATTCTCGTTTTCTGTTGTTTTTTTTTTTATTTTTCGTAGGTACTCTCGTGTCCCACATACAATTTCTTCGGATTCGATCAACATTAGCTGTCTTCCACATTCGTCGTATTTGAAGTTTAATTCATGTAAAACTTTCCAAGCTACTGTAATATTGTTATTAAATCTAATTTATTGTCTTTATTTATTATCAAAGGTTCTACATTTATAACACGTACAAATTTATTAAAGTCTTTATTACAATATTTACTAATTTATTTTTACATTTATATTCGAAATAAAAACTCGACTTCGAAACTAGAACTAACAGTTTTCAACAAAAATGCCTCTTTAAATATAAAATACCGTTAATCGAGAATCCCTTCGAATGCGGACGGCGACCCTCTTGAAACGGATGGAAGGCAGACCGGTCTTTCAGCTGAGCGACGAACTGACTAGAATAGAATTAGAAATAATATGTTTACAGTTTTATGAGTAATATTTATCGTAACACTACTCTACTATCTACTTATCGTGGGCAAATTAAGATAATCGGTAATAGCTTGTAGAACTTTATCCGAAGTTGGTATGTAGTTGTTAAAAAAAACTAATGGACTATTCTACTACTGAAGTTTTTAAAACAATCATTTAGTGCGACTTTTAATAATTTTGGTCTCACTGGTCTCGGTTTGGGTGTACTACTAATACTAGCAGATTTTGTTTCTTTTGACACTTTATATATACTTGATTTTCCATATTCTTTTGCTCTAGGCGGCATTTCATCTATACTGTCAGTGTCAACGGTGTTAGAAAGATTCTTTTACCGCAAATAAATGTAGACATTTAGTGTAACACTCTTTTAGTTACGTGATAAATGGTCAATCTTTAATGTTTTGACTCGTCTATAATCATAAATTGATTCCATATTCGATGAAATCACTCACTATTAAATATGACAAAAACCACACTGTAATAATGTCAAATCTCGTTATTCGCTTACAATTGACTGGACAAAACTATTCTGATTATAATAAACGAACCCCAACAAATTAATATAATTTCTTGATGTACAACTATGACCGGTGTACTTATCTCATCGTCGATTATTCTAAAAATAGTAGCTAGAACACATTTTAGGGTATACGGAGATGTGCACAATTGGTTATCTAAGTAGACGACAAAATAGTAGCTAAAGCTGAAATATTGCCATTGTAGAACAAGCACAGGTACTAAAATATGGATAACAAATTCTTTTCTTTTTTGAGAATTTACTCTTGAAAGAATAATGAAGAACCAAATGGAATACATCATAATTAAACACATATCGCAATACCATCAAATCGGTAAAAAGAAATCCAGGAGCAGATTTCTGTTTACACTGAAATACACAAGAATGTTGATGTAAAAGAGAAATTCAACAGAAAATATCTGAAAACCTTGACAAATTAGAAACTAACATCAATGAGATCGACAAACAATGGGAGAAACTACAGAACTGGCTCCTCTTTCTGTGCAAAGATATGTTAAAAGTGCCGGTAAGAAAGAAAGCTAATTGGATGCACGATTAGATATTGGATATGATGGACCATCAAAAAATCGGATTCTAAGCGTATAATGGCATTTGACGTGTGTGTCTACCAAACTACCACAACTATCAACCAAAATATACAGCACGATGGTCGAACCAAATAAAGGACATGAATACGACCTACTTAAGCTATATCAAAATATTAAAGAAATGATAGAATTACAAAGAAAAAACCACACTGCTGCTCATCTAGTTAAAAATGGCAATACTATAATTATGACTGGGGAAAAATAATAACAATTGAAAGAATACATCAGGAAATAGATAAAGTTTTGGACCAGACGAACTGTTTATCGACATCCTTAAATTAATAAGTGAGTACCTAGATATTCTAATAAAACTCTTTAATAAAATATATCAATTGAGTGTCATATGTTCAGACAAATGAAGTTAATTTGTCTCCCAAAAAAGAAAACCGCTAGAGAATGCAGCAACCACCGCACCATTAGTCTGATTTCTGATACTAAAAATGTAACTAAAGATCATTCACAAACGCATATACCAAAAACTTGAGATGAGCATAGAAGAAATGCAATTTAAATATCGAAGAGACGTTTTTATAGGAAAGCTTTTTGCGATAAACAATTTCAATTTTACAATAATTGTTACGTGAAACTTCTTGAAATTTTTAAAAAATCAACTTTTGAAGTTATTTTTGCAATAATTAAGAAACAAACTAACAAAAATAACGTTGCAGGCCCTCAAGGATTTTCTATGCTTTATTAGTAAAATTGTGTCACTTTTCCATATAATTTATTGGTCTTTACCTTTAGTATTTAAAATCAAATAGCGATCTTAAATTGTTTTTATATTGTTTAAAAGTAAAGAACGACGTACAATATTTTTCATAATTTGTTTATTACATATTGTTAGAATCAAATTTGAAAAGCAGTTGTTAGATACATGTATCAACGGATGTCACAGAAAAATACTAAGTTCTCTGGTCTATACGTGCTTAAATTTCTAATACAAGGAAAGGTCTCGGACAAGAGACAGTACAGTAAGGAGAAGAATCTCATGGCTGCCTAACTTAAGGGAATAGTGCAGTTGTACATCAATCAAAATATTCAGGACCAGGACCCATCTAAGATCAAAATAACCATAATGATTGCCAACCTCCGTCGCGGAGATGGCAAGTAAAAAAGAAGATTTCAAATCATGATACTTCATTGTAAAACTAATTTAGACAATTTAAAGATACGGAACAAATGATCATTTGCAAACCATTAAGTCGTTGATTGAAAAAACCATTGAATATAATAGACCCCTGATACTTGACTTTGTCAAATTTGAAAAAGCATTTGATACGGTCAATCAAAGTGAAATGCTCCAAGCTCTAACACAATGTAGAATAGATGACCGATACATATCCCTCATCAGTTATGTCAGCATGCCACAGCCTGTGTAAGACTTAATGAAGATACTGGGACCTTTGGTATTGAAAAAGGCGTTCGGCAAGGAGACAACATGTCTCCTAAATTATTTACAACTGCTAGAATACGCTTGTAAAACAATAGATAGGAAGGAAAAGGGCATCAATGTCGATCTTAAATTTCTAAATAACCGTAAATTTGCAGATGATATCGTTCTTATTGCAGACAGCTTTGATCAGGCACAGATAATGCTCCAAGAACTCCATACTGCCACAAAAAGAGTTGGTCTTAAAATAAATTTTTCAAAAACACAATTTATGACAAATTTAGTCCACAACAAAAACATCTCAGTAGAAGACAAAGATATTGAGCCAGTTGACTCCTATAATACTTGGGCCATGAGATCAGAATAAGTCAAGAATACCAAACAATCGAGCTGAAAACAAGAATAAACCTCGCTTGGGCTGCATTTGGAAGGATGAAAGATATTTTTAGGTCTAAGATTCCAATGTGTCTGAAAAGTGTATTTAATCAGTGTATTTGGCCAGTGATGACCTACGGCGAAGAAACCCTAACACTAACAAGAACAACAGTGAGTAAACTACCAGTTGCGGAAAGGGCAATGGAGAGAATAATGTTAGGGATTTCTCTACGTGATAGAATACCCAATGCTCAGTGACTACAAATTGGATTCAGATGGCTCAAAATCGGACTAAGTGAGAAGCATGCGAGAGGCCTATGTTCAGTAGTGAACGTTAGAGGCTAGTTGATGATATTAATAGTTGGTTAATAATTGAGTAGTATTTGAAAAGTGATGAATGCAAAAACACAGCCAATTTACTCTCCATTTATTGAAGGTAGAATTATGCCAGATTGTTCATTCAATTTTGCTAAAATTAGCGTATAAATGAAGTCTCATAATTTTGCACCCAAAAGAATGCTAAAATATAAAGTTACTTTTTTATATCACATTAGTTTCCCTATTTAAGTTGAATCAACATTTTTTTTTCACAAAAAGCATATCTTGAAGATATCGGATCCATTTTATTTTCGGTACCATACCCTGTGTATCAATCCTATTTATTTCAAACCATTATGTCGTAGGAGCTCAATCGTCACGTTCCTTGTAAAATGTAGTTGCTATATTCAGTAGAAGTACGGATCTGTGTACGATCACAAATTGATATTTCTTTTCATTCTAGAAAATCGAGGTGCGAGGGTTTTTCACACCCCTGCTACGAATGGTACAGTATACAGACGATTTCTAGCATGCTCCACACTTCCACGTATTTGTTAGAATGATTTTTTATTATTATTTGTGAAAGGTTATGAATATTTTTTATTGCATGTTTTTTTATAAACTGTATATCCCAACAGAAATCTTATTGTAGTACTAATAACAAATGGACATATTTGCAGGCGAGGCACTATGGGCATTTCATCGTCACGACTGAGCTCCACGAAACGGGGCTCCATCCAGACCAGCGGAAACGGTTCCGGTGACGATTCCACAACGCAGGACGAAGCCATGGATGGGGATGATGCCCCCAACTAAATTATTTATATTAAAATATTGCCCATTTAATTTTTATCCATTAATAACAACAGATAATTAGACAGGAGTGAAAATAAACATTTCGATTAGTATTAAGGTATCAAGGTTAGAGTGACAAAATGCTTAGATACACGTCATATGTCATACGTCGTGTACATATACATCTTATCAAACTAGTAATGTTCTTTATTAAGGCCAAAAATATGGAATGATTACGTAATATGTCATTTCGGATTGTTTTGGATGAGATTCTATGCTGTTGTTTTCTGATTTAAATGCTGTTCAGGCAATAGTTGCTTTTCTTTCATCAAATGACCCATAATTTGTGTATACTGTAAATTCCTAATTTCTGGAGAGTTTTGTACCACTAATAATGTAACATATTACTGCCGTGTGCATTTTAGATCCATATAGAGCATACTTGCAGAAAAACCATAGCTCAGATGTACATTCCTACCTTAACACTACTCCAACAAATACTTTGGCCAAAAAATTTTCATTTCTATCTAATATCGACGTATTATAAAATATCATTCACCTAGCGAAAAAGTTTGCTTCTTTGTAAATACATTTATGTTTTTCTAGTACTTAGCAAGATATTTATAAACTTTTGGTTGGATCAAGACGTATTTTCATTTGAAACTATTAAAGCTGGTAAAAAAATGTTAACTAGCTAAAAACTACTTCTAAAACGTACTTTTTTCGTACTTAAAAAGAATTTACTCCAAAGTTTTGATGTATATCCAAAAAAAATACATATACTGTTAGTGGGTGCGTTATATATCCTTGAGGATACTTCTCATTCTAGCTCTGATGGATAGCTTTTTTGAATGGTGAAAAATGTAATTTATTGCTGATTTACAAGTTTCTTCTATAATGCCAGAACATGGTAACTACTGTAGAATATAACTAACTACTCATTTATTGGGTAATACCATGATTCGATCATATTTCTTTCGGATTGTTGGCATTTCGGAAACTTAAGAATATTCTGGTCAGTTTACTATCCTAATGTTTCGTCACCATACTTGTTAGTTCTTCTTTATTCGTCAATTATTTTCTGTAATAATATATTCTAGTTACTGTAATCATTTACAGTTTTTATATACTGAAATCTTCATAAACCTTCCATAAATTTGGATTATAATTGTTTTCCAGCATCAAGCTGGTCGCGAAATAAAACCATCTTGATCCAACTTTACTTACAGAAAATTGGCCAGAAGCATTTATTTACTATATAAGGGGCCTACCATTTAATGGATTTATTGGTAAAGCTGGTTCTTTCAATCTAAAACGAATGGGCTAGCATACATTATTTTTTTACATATTGATTTTTATGTTTAAGATTTTTATTTATATAAACTTCATCTTGATACTTTTTTGATTTAATTATCTACGTATTTTTTAGTCTGATGACGAGTATTTTTGTTAATTGGGTAAAGTTATCTTTATCGCGTACCAATACCAATTATTCTTTTAATATATTTCATCTTACATACTTCGAAAGTATAGTCAATGCTAATGTAATAATATATAATGAAAAATAGTATAGACATTAACATTTTGATACACAAGTATATTTGTAGAGTATATATTTTGTAAAGACATCTATATTTTAGTCGAAACATGATTTTGATATGCATGTTTTTGTATAAACAACTTCTTGAATTTTGTAAATATCTTTAAGCGTAATTATGGGGGTTCAGGGCTCATTTTCATTATTCTTTGATGAGTTGAATAAAACTATATCTACATCATCACTTTTAGGTCGTTTGTTTCAAACCTTTCACAACAACCTTCCTTTTCCTTTCGATTCTATGAAAAACTCACCCGTCTGGAGCAACAATAATTTAAGAAATACACGACCCATGGGGGCATAACAGGAAATGGCAAAAATAATGCGAATATTTTGTCAAATTGCTACAAGAACAATAGGAACGTCATATGGTGCTAAAGGTAATAATTATGTTCGAACAAAAACAAATCATGAAAGGTCACACTGAACAAATTGTTGCCAAGTTAACGCACTTGAAGAGAACAATGGATCGAAATTCAAAACCGTAGATTATAAAGTTTAATCTTTTGATTACAGTGATCGTTGAAGTGTCTAAATGGCCAAGTTTCTCGTAGTGGCACTTTAAAAACGATAGCCCAACATGGCCAAGAAGTTAATATTTACATTACTGACAGCAACATTACAATGCTGCTATTACTTCAAATTTCATAACTAAATATTATACAATATCTACAACTAAATGGCATGGTACACGGTTGCAGTAAATCATCATGAAGTATAATGACCATATGAAAACCACTGAAAACTGTTTGCAGTCAAATAGCAACGATCTACTACTATCGTGACATAAAATACATAAAAACCAATTCATACGATTCTTTAGAAAGAACTTATACCACGTATTGCTGCTGTAATGACAGTCAACACATAAATGAAGTATAGTCCATTCTAATTCGGTCTATGGATACCGTTGATTTTAAAACAAAAAAAAACACCGTCAGAATAAAAGCAAAAGAGCCTCTTTTAAAGGTTTCAAGATCAACAAAGCAATGATCTTTAAAATCAATCTAGAAAAAGCTTTTGACCGAGTCGCATGGCTGTTTGAAGTCTACAAATACGTTGTGAAGATCAATGTCATGTTCCCATGATTTACTCAAGATTTGTTTGACTGTAAATATTTGATCCAGTGTCAATCTTCCCCGTCGGAAGCCCATCTTATACTCTCCAATAATTTCTGCTAGTGGTTTCAGCCGCTGGTTTATAATATACGTGAGGACTTTATATGCTGTACGTAGTAGAGAAAATCCCCTGGAGTTCGTCTCCTTTTTTATAGTTCTCTTCTGGCCATATGTGTTTGAGGAACGCGTGGATGTGACTTGCTAGGTGATCGCCATCTACCTTATACAATTCTGCTGGTATTTCATCAACTCCCGGGGCTTTATTATTTTTCTGGGCCTTAATAACTTCGAGAACTTCCTCTATGGTTGGAGCTTCTACTCCATTATCTTCTACGTAGTTCGTACACATTTCATCTTCCAAGTAGTCACTGATTATTTGCCCATTTTTTGTATTTGTCCATTTTCATTCCATCATTATCCGACGGGGAAGATCGACACTGGATCAAATATTTACAGTCAAACAGATCTTAAGTAAATCATGGGAACATGACATTGATGTTCACAACATGTTTTTATACTTCAAACAGGCATACGACTAAGTCAAAAGGAACAAACTCTACAATATATTGGCTGAATTGGCAATACCACATAAGCTAATTAGACTCATTAAAGCCACAATGAATGAAACCCAGACATGTGTATGAATACAAAACCGCAGACTTTTTACGTATGCGGTTAGGCAAATATAAACTGGACGAGGAAACCTACTGACTAACCGTACGGTTCAACTGGCCGCTTATGCCGATGATATTAATATTATGAGTAAAACATCAACGGGAGCTCAGGAAACATACGCAGAGTTAAAAACACAAACAAAAAGGCCAGGTCTGGAAATTAACGCAAAAAAAACAAAAATAATGATACAGACGAGAAGAAATATAGTCCGACAAAATATTATACATTAAAATGGTTGGAAAGTTTACATACCTGGGAGTAAAAATATACGCCGGCGGATCAGAAGATGAAGAATAACGCAGGCAAACACAGCTTATTTTGCCCTCTCCCGTATATTTCGGTCTAAAAATGTCCAACGAAATACAAGGATGAGAATTTATAAAACCTTATTTCGACCAATAGCATGCTACGACAGTGAAGCATGAGTCCTGAAAGAAACATCCAAAAGCAAACTCGACACATTCGAAAGAAAAATACTGAGAAGAATACTAGGACCTGTGAGGGAAAACGGAATCTTCGGGAAGTTGATACAACAACGAGCTTTATCAACTTTATAAGGAAGCACCACTGTCAGACTTCATTAGAATACAATTATCGCAATGGGCCGAATACGTGATAAGAATGGGAGGGGATAGGCTACCAAAAAGAGCACTGAATCCTAGAATGCAGGGAAAGAATCGGTTGGAAAACCAAGAAAGCGCTGGGAAAACACAGTAAACAATGACGCACAAGCCCTTTTAGGAATCCGTGTATGGAGAAGATCGGCCACAGACAAGCAAGGGTGGAGGCAAAAAATAAAGGAGGCCAAGGCTCAATTTGGGCTGTAGTGCCGTAGAGGAAGAAGAAAAAGCTTTAGAAATTTGAAAACGGAAATGTAAAAATATAGTATAACTCTCAATAATACACATGTTTTGCAGATAACCAGATAGTACGTGCACAGGATTATGAGGATGCTGAATATATGATGCGAAAATTAATAGAATACAAAAAGTGGGACTTGGAATTAAACATCGACAAAACGGAATACATGCATATAGGCGGAGAACAATAAAGCACTGTACGTCGTGAGGAATATCAACAAGAAATAAAACAATGTACGAAATACAAATATCTGGGCACGTATATGACGAAAGAAAGAACTCTTAAAACCTTAGAGGCAACCAAAATTGATTTTTCTAGACTTGCTGCTGATAAATCAAAGTTATATAGGGTTAGGAATAACAGAATTCGAGAAATTATGAATGTCATGATTACAATATCCGAAGACATTAGAATAAACCAACTAAGATGTATGGTCACGTGCAAAGAATGAGGGAAGATCGTTTGCCTAAACACATAACAGAAAGCGGAGGTACAGAAGACGATATTCGTATGAGGATACGAAAAGCGCAACAAGCTTTCAGCATGCTCAACCCTGTTTGGAGGTCTGGAGAATACACTACGAGGACAAAGATCCGCATATTCCAGTCAAATGTCATGTCTGTATTACTTTACGGATGTGAAACCTGGAAAGCGACAAAAACCCTTACAGACAAACTGCAGGTCTTTGTTAATAAATGTCTACGAAGAATTGTTCGTATTTTCTGGCCTAACATCATCAGAAACGAAGACTTACTACACCTAACCAAACAAAAGAGGGTAGTAAATGAAATAAAGTCCAGAAAGTGGGGTTGGATCGGTCACACACTCCGAAAAAATAACTCCAGTATTGCAAAGACTGCCCTAGAGTGGAATCCCCAAGGAAAACGAAAAAAAGGTCGCCCAGTACAAACTTGGAGAAGATCCATCATGGACGAGATAAGAAAACAAGGAAAGTCTTGGAATGAGGTGAAGGCCTTAGCGCAAAATAGAACCCGATGGCGCGTTTTCACTGAAGCTCTATGCTCCACTTAGGAGTTCAAGAACCTTATATATATATATATATATATATATATATATATATATATATATATATATATATATATATATAGGAATAACAGAATTCGAGAAATTATGAATGTCATGATTACAATATCCGAAGACATTAGAATAAACCAACTAAGATGTATGGTCACGTGCAAAGAATGAGGGAAGATCGTTTGCCTAAACAGATACTACATTGAACACCACAAGGTAAATGGAAGAGAGGATAAGTTGGACAGAATGGATTGATAGAGATATAGACGTCAACTTGGAGGAAGACAGAGAGGAATAGAAACTGGAAATCAGAAGACCTCGGAGACCGTTTTAACCTGAGCATACTTGACTTCCCTTATAAATGAGTTATGAGTTAAGCATACGCGGATCAATAAAAGTGCTTGGCATACTTTAAATGAATTCCACCCAAAAACAGTTGTCAGACAAGGATGTATACTATCTTCACAACTGTTTAATATCTACGGAGAACATCTATGAGAGCGCTTGAAGGATGAAGAAAAAAATGCATCTCAATAAATGGCCGAAAAATAAACAATATAAGCTTTGCTGATGATACCAAGAAAACCTGATAGTTTCATACGAGTGGTTAAAAATGAGAGTAAAATGTTTGATCTGGAATTAAATATAACAAAGACAAAAATCGTGATAGTGGATAGGCAACACAACTATCATCCACATATAAGCAAATTTGACGAGTTCGATGTAAACTCATTCTAGTATCTATGATCATTAATAAATAGATAAGATCGCTATGATGAAGTTGACCAAAATATGGAAAGACCCCAATATTTCAAAAACCCTAAAAATGAGATTAGTCAACACATTAATATGTATTTCCATTACAAAAAGGAGCAGCTAGACGCCATTTTAAAGTTCTGCGTAAAACAAATAATTTTATTTTAAAAGAACTAAAGATCTGTAACAGACTCCAGCAAAATCCAGCTACAACAACTAAAATATTTTTGACATGACCAATATGGAGAAACTTTTCGTTTAAGGGAAGGAAAATGCCGAATACCACAAGAAAGATCTCCAACGAGATAGATTAACCAGATTATAGGAAGTTGTAAAACACTTATGCATGATGTAATAGAAATGATCAGAGACAGAAATCTATGGAGACTGACCATACACGATATCACGACCTCCACCTCCATACCTCCATTTATGGAATAACCAGTCAAATTGATTACATCTTTATATAAACAAGATACGGAACTTAGGTAATAAACTGAAACAGTTACAGACACGCCAATATAGAGTCAGATCACTTCTTAGTAATCTTAACATTGAGTGCTAGGATCCCAAACGCCAACAAAGACAAAGTACAAAACTACAGAGAAAAGAAGAAGTCTATTGAAAATACCTACTTAACGAACAAGAACCAGAGTAGAGAAGAGAAGACGAGTCGCAAAAAAAGAAACGAAACTATATAAAAATATATAAAAATCCGTAAAAGGGAGAAAGAAGAGCTTCT